TATATATATATATATGTACATTTATATGTGTGTATGTAATTTTTGATTAATTTCTGCCCTGGTAGTCTGTAAGAATCTTTGAACTATCTTGAAGAGCGAGAATTTGTTTTTGTTTTATTTATTCATTTTTATTTTATTTATTATTCTATTTTGTCATTATTTTTTATTACTGTAACAGTTTCTTAGGTTATAAAATTGAAAAATATATAAAAACATACATTTGAGCAATACTAATGTCAAGTCCAGAAGGAGAAATTCTGCAGAGTTAATTGCATGAGCACATTTACTGCAACTGATTGAGGCCATTTCAATGGTCCTTCCACCTCATAGAGCTGACAACCATCAATTAGGTTGTCTGTGTGTGCAGCAGGGACAAACCAGAGCAGCCTTCTGTCAAAGATGTATATAAGGTGTTGTAATTACAGAGTTGCTGTAAAGGTTTTTTTTTTCCCAGCGAGAGGTTATCAGCAACATTTCTTGTGTTTGGTGTAAGTTTTGAGATCAAATTTTTACTCCTGTCTCCATTGCTGCATACCAGGACAGCCAGCGTCTTCTCTCAATGTCGAAAAAATGTTGAATTCCACATTAAGGGACACCACACAAAAAGCTGCTGACAATCCTGTCCAGAAAATAACTTCAAGTGAGTCAATATGTCATTTCTCTCAAATATCCATTACATTTGTTTCACCTTTCATCAGCAACAATTGAGATTTTCTTTTTGTTCACAATCAATTTTGTCTCTTGTCGTCACTAGATGAGCCATGTCTTGGGGACAAATCGATTTTTTGCCAAATGGAGGTTTTGGCTCGTTATTGTTCTATCCCTGGATATAACAAGCTTTGTTGTGAGTCTTGTAACAAGAAGGAAAACCTCGCTACTCATGCGCCAGAGGTCCACAACACCTTGGGGGCCACAGTCCAGTCCCTGCCCTCCGATTCATCTCAAACTCCTCTTGCTACCACCCAGGGTGCTCTTAAAACACCAAAAGCCGTGAGCAGACGGTTGTGGTCTACTGCCCCAGTGCCAACCACTGCCAATACTCAAACCTCAGCCTCCACAGCTACTGCTCTACCCAAGGTGCCCACAAGCAATCCCTTCCACAGAGACAGGAAGGCAGACTCAGACCTAGGGACTCTTCTACCTCTAGAGCTGCCTCGGCCCACAGCAGACTCCAGCAGGGCCGCCTCTACACACAGTCCACACAGCACTTTAATGCCAGTCACTGCCACAACCAGACGGGACGATTTAGTATCTTAGAGGGATCCAGGCTCAGAACCCCGTCAGCTGAGAAATAATTGACAAGGTAGTGATGTTGTGAACATGCTGCTCAGTGTGACAGTTGTATATGTCAGCTCAACTTTCAGCAGCTAGTGATAGATGTGCAGATCTGGCTGTGGATTTTTTTCTTTTTGTCAATGCCAGTGAATTGTCCAGCGATGGTTACCTCAACAAATCTCCAGAGTGACCCACGTGCTGCATCGCTCTGCCCTTTGTGTTTCAATCGAAACTGAAGGGAAACATGATGTCATACGAAGGTGCTGTATACTAACACGACTACAAGACGTGTTGAAAATGTGACGACTGCATCTGCTACGTTCATGTTTTGATCTGTGTACATACGTATGTATAAGCCTGTTTTTTTTAAGTGCATCAGAACTACTATTGAACTGGTATTGTGAACACGCTCAGAGGTCGAAGCCCAGAGGTCAAAAGTGTGCTATCAAAATAGTTATAGAGCTTGGCAGTGTACAGTCATTCCCTTAGGAATCGTTCAATTCCTCTTTGTTTGGCACTGTTTAGAAATATTCTTGAGTGATGCTGATTGGTGAACATAGAATAGTAATACAGAGCTTTTTTTAGTCAACAAATGTGATTGATTTCAGGTTGGCTTGATATTTTTATAATCCTTAAAATTGAAATCAGAATTCATCAACATGCTGTAGGTATTCATCATCCGACTCAAAGCTGATGAATTAGAATTAGAATTAGAATGATGCACAAACACAGATAAAGAGTGTCAAACATATCCCTCAGGGTACTTTAGGGCCATACATCTCTCACCTTTGAAAACGTAATTAATGAAAGAAATATGGCATTGCGCTTCTAATGTGTACATTCACCCAGAACATGTTGCTCCCTGCTCACAATAATAATATACAGTAATGTTTTAATAATAAGATCTAATTCTTCAGTTAGGCTAATGGCTAACTAAATCTTGGGCAAAATGCTATGTGTTTTTAGGGATGTCCAGGGATTCTTCTTCTTATTATTATTATTATTAAAATAATTTGTTGTTGCCTTGCTGTTGGACGTATTGAACTCAAGCCATTATTGTACCATAAAATACAAAAATGCATCACCTCTCCTAAAATAGGAATTGATATGAATATTTCAACTTTTGTCATGGACATTTTTAAAAGTTGTCCTATAAATGGCACCCATCAGGGTACTGTAGCATGGCAAAATTGGTATTGGTAATTTCTCATTCTTCACTCTGTAGAGAACAACTTTTCATAGACAACTATAGGTGCAATATGCTATAACTAAATGTAATCCTGAAACCGGTGCAGGAATTTTAGCTGCAGCAGTTTAATTTAAAAAATCCAAATGTGATTCGCTTCCTGAATGAATTTTTGTTCAGTCCCTCCATTATTGGTCGCAGTAATAAGACTGCATTGTGATATGGTAACATTTTTATCAGTTAAAAAGTTGGGATAACAACCTGCTGAGAAATACATATCTCACATCTATAACTATTTCAATAGCATACTAGAGTTCTTTTTTCTACCTGGTGCTTTTCCCCCACATCTACAGTAATATTCTAGTACATATTAGTCAGTAAGGACAACCTTTACTGCATTAGGCCCACTGTCTGCCTCTGTGTAGGTCAGATATGTAATCTTTAAAAACAAAACTGTTTTTTTAAGAAATAATAATATACAATTTTTCTAACAGTATATTTTTTAGATAATAATGTATATAGTGTAAATTTCAAGTTATAAAACTTGTGTTTTACAGTTTAAAAATGGAGTCAATGCTGTTAGTCTACAGACTGTGGTTGCTCATACTGTAACACCATCCCTGCATTGCAATGCGTAACATCATGCTAATTGTATAGTTCTTGTATATACACACCTGAAGGAAAGCTTTAAATGTTAATATTTATTGAATTTTTAAGTTGTACGGAGAACAAAGTAAAAGACATTTGGAACTGATTTTATTTTGTTGTCCTTTGTTAGATCATAATTCAATAACATTGTGGATATTTTATTCACATTGTTAATTAAAATATAATTTGGATAGAATATAATATAAACAATTCACTCATGTTAACAAGTAAACTATTTGTCTGTAAAGTATGAAGATGAGTCACAATGTGAAAACACATGGACATGTAGGTCTTTATTGATCTTGACAGTCATGTGCCAACACATGAGCAAGACATTAATTCATGTTTTGCTTTCTCCTGCAAGGCTGGACTAAAAACCGACTCTAGGTGCTGATACCAGTCTGTTCCAGCTGTTCTCTGCGCCATATGGAGAAGGACCTTGAGAAGAACTTTTACTGGTTGCTGAAAGAGGGCGGTGTGGGGGTGGGGAGGTGGGGGGTGGTGTAGGTTTACCAAGTGCACTGTGTGATATTACTGCCAGTGGGTAGGTGTGGGTGTGGGTGTAGGCGTATGCATGACAGAGATATATATATATATATGTATATATATATATATAACCACATATGTCTTCTAGCTAAATTACAACTAAATTAACTGTTTTTGAATATCTCTTAGACTACACTGGGCAAGTAGTCACTCTGTCACCCAAGGAAATTTTATTAACAAAAATATATTAGCTGTATTTTGATTGGTTAACCGAAGTACTACTGCAGTTTTCCACATCCTGCTGCTGGGCATGGTGTGGTGGGGTGGAGGGGTGTACTTTACAACATCTACCTTGCATGACAAATAAATGTTCCACCAACCATAAGTATGTGACTGGATGGTGCAGTGGCGGTGAAGCAGGCAATCGACCCTGTGCTGTGGGTTCAGATCCAGGTGTTGTACAGTGTTTAATTCTTACAAGTCAGAACATCAACCTTTCATGACATATATGAGTTCCCTCAAAAAACAGGTATGTGGCTGGATGGTGCAGTGGGAGTGACGCAAGCAATAGACCCTGTTGTGTGGGTTCAAATTCAGGCAATTGAGCCCTAGCTCTATCCTACGGTAGAATGGAGTGAAATAAAATTGAAAAGAAAATCTTTTTTTATATATATAAAAATGTGGGTACCAACAACTACCAGGTGAGGTAGCAGGTAAAATACGCGAGTCACTACTAGTAAAGGATATTTTTAATGTTTTATACCATTGACTAGGTTTCAACTTTTCAACTGGTTACACTTGGTACTGAAAAAAATAAAACTGTGCCAGCCAGGCCTGGATTCAAACTCACATCGCCTGGACAAAGGTCAGAGGACTTATCCTCTGGTACGAGCTCACAATAACTAAAATAAACTCTGACTGATGTGATGTCACAGCGCGACAATAAAACTGGGATGCAAAAGAGAAATACCCAGTGTTGTCAAGTCTTGACTAGTTAGTGCAAAGAATATAATAAAAAATACAAATATTTCTGATCATTTATTTTATCAAGATGACTTAATTTTTTATTTTATTTTCAGCGCACAGAAAAAACAAAACAAAACAGTGAGTCCGGAGTACACAGTACAAAGTACACAGCTTGTAGGCCATGAGTAACTACTTGGGGTTTGGCTGTATATATATATATATATATATATATATATATATATATATATATATATATATATATATATATATATATATATATATATATATATATATATATATATATATATATATATATATATATATATATATATATATATATATATATATATATATATATATATATAAAAATAGTGCATGTTTGATTGAAGATCTAAAATGTTATTAAGAAACTTATCACATGTTCTCTATTTATTTCTGGTTTTATTTTAATTTTTATATATTTTTACACACAGATCTACAAATTATTTCACGTTAATTAAATTTACGTAATTTCCTTTCCCTAGTTTGCGCATGCGTAGCAAAAGCCGGAAATGGGCGCTCTCAGTTTTCAAACAAACATTTGGTCGTCGTCGAGTGTGTGTGGATGTCACGAGGGTAAAGATAACTTGACACAAACAAACTTTTTACGTTTAAACTACATAGGAAAACATTTTTTGTGATGTTCAGCCATATTATGGTAACCAGTGCATTCGTTTTTTTCTCGGCAGTGAGTCAACCGGAAATATTACTCTCGTTTATCAAACAAGCATTTAGTCGTCCTCGAGTGTGTATGGAAAGGGAAAGATAACCTGATCACAAATAAACTTTTTTCGATTAAACTCAATAATGGATGCGTTTCTGTGGTGTTTAGTCATTTTATCGACACTAGTGCTTTAGGTAAACCTTTTTGTCGGTAACTTAACATGCTAGGTTGTGCCCCCATATGTTAAACGTGTAGCTAACATTGGAATTAGTAGAAGTCGTTGTTTTAGCAGTTGTACAGGTGGAGGAGCTTCAATTGATTTTGTGACTTTATGTAAAATATACTGTTAGGTCTTTATAAACAAATTATATATACACTACCTAACCCTAATAGCAATAATGGCCTGTTTTATTGTATTATCTTATTTTGTTATAAAATGCCATTGCCTGTACATTTGTTTTTTTTTATATTTTATATTTTAATTAACTGTTTTTATTATAGCTTTTTGCCTGCTTGCTCCTTGGGTCAGAGAGAACTGTGATTTAATTTTATCTATATGTATGGCATATTTCAATAAAGTTGATTTGCATTCACATTTTAAGGTGTAAACTTGTATTTTGAAAGTGTTTTTTTCTGTACAAAAGATTGTGTTGTTTTAATTTTAATTTTTTTTGGGGGGGTGCGGTTTTAGAACAAATTTTCTGGTATACAGTTTTTATTTTTCCTGCTTTGCATGAGGTCATATTTCATGTTTTATTCATGAACAACATATTATAACATGTTTTTTCCCAATTTTTTAAAACTATAATGTGACTAAGTGGAAGTTAAACATAAATGTCACTTGGATAATTTCTAACATTTTAACATTTTTGGAAAAAATGATTTATGAGAAAGTTTATTTTTTGTAAATTTTTATTTAGTTTTATCATTTATCATACAGTTACATGGATAAATAATAGGACCAAAGTGAAAAAATCTCTATAATAAAAAAAAGATATATACCTTTTTTTTTTTCATTTATTTCAAGTGAACATATTTGCATTGACCTAACCAGAGCAAACCAACGTTTCATGACTTTCATGACTCTGTTCTTGTGTTCTGGCAGTGGGTGAGCCAATCAACACTGAAGCATGGCAGTGGTACTACAGTGAGGTCGGGGACAAGCGTTGTCCTGTGGTGGATATCTGGTGAAAAACAGGTAAATGGGAACACACTGTTGTTACTCTTCAAACAATTCAAAAGTCACGTTACATGTTTTTATCTCACACACTTGAGTTTGTTCTGGTTCTGGAAAACAAAAAAATGTAACTGAGAATAATTGAACACCATTGCATTGTGGATTTGATACTTACTGACACAGATATGACCCAGATATTCTGCTAAACTAACTAAGGATTACAGTTTAGTCTAATTTTCCTGCACCAATTTCTCTAATGAAGACTACGTGACTTTATATTCATAAAATCCATTTGTTGGATCTGCAAACAAGAGTATGTTTTTAGTTCCTTTTTTGTACTTATAGTATATTTTAGTAGTTATATTTAGTACTTATAGTAATTTTTTTTAGCTTTTTTTGTTTATTTTTTAACTTGGATATGTAGTTTAATCATTGTGTAACTTGATTGCTGTGCTATTGTAATTAACAGATTTTTTAGTTAGTTTATTTGTAGCTTAGTTGTAATGTGGTGAAATCATTGTGTAACTTGAGCTGTATTTGAAACCTTCCAATAAAAGAAAATTGTTGG